TACTATTAAGTAAACTGGCAGTAGGCGGAGTCACACAGACCAAAACAAAAACACATTCTGACACGGAATGCACATTTTTGAGTAGAATAACTGGCTGTAGCATCGTTTTTCAGAGAAACAAGTATGCAAACTTAGCGTTTCCTAAATATCTGCAAATGTATTATGGGATTCTCATGCCATAGTACAATAAAAAAATTACATACAGCACCTTTAATATGCACTAATAAAATTTTCTGTCCCTCGTTTTCACTTATGACTCAGTCAGCTGTGCACAAATACTGCAGCAGCAACACACGTATTAGCTTTCAAAAGAGTTGAAAATGATGTACTGATGAACTGAAAATGTTTTATTCCATGTTTATGCTCTTAAAAATATATTTAATTGTTGAAAAATCATCGCAACTGCATTTCAATTCAAGTTTATTTGTATAGCGCTTTTCACGATACATTACATTTACATTACATTACATTTAGTCATTTTGCAGACGCTTTTATCCAAAGCAACTTACAATTGGGGGATACATAAAGCGATTCTTCTTAAAGAGGCAAACAGATACAGGAAGTGCCTGTAATACCAAGTTTCTAGACATTGTTCAAATAAGTACAAGCTAGGGATCTCAGACTTCTGGAGGGGATACAAATCGTTGCAAAGCAACTTTACAGCAAATTAAGTTTCTACAATATTTAGTAGTAGCTTATCAGTGGTGACTGTCAGTTAATGTACATATGTCAGAAATGTACGGAAAAATCAATTAAAGACGTAATCAAACAGACGATGAACACTATTAACAGCAATTATTATATGATGCAATCAAACTTATAGCAAAATTTGGTAGTTCTGTATGTTGTTTCAGGGTTGGCATCATCTGAGGTCCTCTGAGGGGTTGGTATCATCTCTTCTCAGGTGTTCTGGATCCAGAGTGAAGATTGTGTAAATCCTAGTTACCATGGGATGCCAATTCCCAAGCAAAATTTATTTAACCCAACCTAAAGAATATTAATGTGCATTTGATCAGATATAACTGCAGTACAAGATTATGAGATGCATTATTTGAATGCTTGGCCAAAGAGATGTGTCTTTAATCTAGATTTAAACAGAGAGAGTGTGTCTGAACCCCGAACGTTTTCAGGAAGGCTATTCCAGCGTTTGGGAGCCAAATGCGAAAAAGCTCTACCTGCTTTAGTGGACTTTGCTATCCTTGGTCCAAAAGTCCAGAGTTTTGCGAACTTAGGGAGCGAGATGGATTGTAGCATGGTAGAAGACAAGTTAGATACGCAGGAGCTAACCCATTAAGGGCATTATAGGTAAGTAATATTTTGTAACTGATACGGAACTTAATAGGTAGCGCAGAGACTGTAAAATTGACATAATATGATCATATTTTCTTGACCTGGTAAGGACTCTAGCCGCTGCATTTTGGACTACCTGTAGCTTGTTTATTGAAGATGCAGGACAACCACCTAGCAGTGCATTACAAGTCCAGTCTAGAGGTCATGAATGCATGAACTAGCTTTTCTGCATCAGAAACAGGCAACATGTATCGTAAATTGGCAATGTTTCTAAGATGGAAGAACACTGTTTTTGTAACATGGGAAATATGATTTTCAAAAGACAAGTTGCTATCTAATATAACACCCAGATTTTTGACTGTAGAGGAAGTAACAGTACATCCGTCTAGTTGCAGATTGTAATCCAAGAGATTCTGTGTACTATCTCGTCACATGTGGTTGCCGCAAGCCCGCCGGACGCTCCTTCATCGAATCCTCCGGCCACGCTGTTCTCAAGCTCACCGGCCTCCTCTCACTCTAGCTGCCGGCCTCCGCTCACTCTAGGCCGCTGCTGCATGTGACGCTGTGTTTCGTTGTGAAAGTGAAGCTACTTTGTTTGGCCCTCTAAAAGAGGACACGACTAGAAATCAGTGGTTAAGTTGTATTTACAGCACTGTTCCAGAACACTTCAATCCAAATATTCAGATGTGTGCAACAAATTTTATGGAGGACGGTTTCCTGATCCTGGTAGAGCAGACTACAATGCCGGCTGTTCTGACTCACAGACTGCAGGTAAGTTTTTTATATTTAAAGAATTTGCCACTGATGATTCAAATGCGAGTTTTGGGCAGTGTAGAGTAGCGCTTGTTGTTTGTCATTTCTCCGATCACAAATGCAGACATGGTTTTATGTTACGCTCCGGCCTGACAGGGCATCACAGTATGGTAAGGGGCGTAACATTTCTGTCACACGCTTGAGGTATTCGGCCAATCACAACGCACTGGATAGCTGGCCAATCAGAGTACACCTCGCTTTTCAGACTGATGAGCTTTATAAAAATCACTGAAAGTCAGTAAAAAAAGGAGAAACAATAATGTACAGTATGTGGAAAATAATGTGTTTTTTAACCTTAAACCGCATAAACATTTCATTACACCAAATACACAAAATAATGTTATATATATCTTAATGTTTAGCAACATCATATGACCCCTTTAACAATTGCAGTTTCTATGCTATGGTGGGGCCTGAAACCTGACTGAAATTCTTCATAGAGATAATTTTTTTGCAGGAAGGAGCACAATTGCGCAAGACAACTTTTTCTAAAATTTTAGACATTAAAGGAAAATTTTAAATGGGTCTGTAATTTGCTAGTTCACTAGGATTTAGTTGTGGTTTCTTAATAAGAGGCTTAATAACCGCCAGCTTGAATGGTTTTGGGACGTGACCTAAAGACAACGACGAGTTAATATTGAGAAGCGGTTCTTCTGCTACAGGTAACAACTCTTAGTAATTTAGTGGATACAGGATCTAACAGGCATGTTGTTGGTTTAGATGCAGTGATAAGCTTATTTAGCTCTTCCTGTCCTATAGTTGTAAAGCACTGCAGTTCATCTTTTGGTGTGATTAATGAAGCTGAAGTATTATACACAATCAAAATACTATTTGATGTCACAAATGAGGAAGAGAACAAGTGAGACTATCAGTCTTACAGCAGGAGTTCTGAAAGTGATTTTCCCCAGATATTAGTACGAAGTTGGTCAAGAATTGCCTGCAGGTTTATTTCCACAATTCAGATTTCTAATAAGCTAATAGTCATCATCAATACAGTATGTTGTCTCGGTCAAACATGATGTGAGCAGATGAACATCAGAAAAACAGACGGACGGCTCAGTGCCAAAGCTGGTTTATTATTTTTATTACAAAAATAAAATACAAATGACTATAGAGACACAGCAGACGTCTTACTAAAGAACCGACAATAGAAACGCCACACAGCTCTGTGCTGGAACCACAAACGTGTCTGTAGGTCTGTGAGCATCTCCATATCAGCTGCTATTTGGCAGAAATTATCATCATCATCATCATCATCACTAGCTGCTATCGGAAAACCTCACGGACTGTCAGATGAGTCAAGTAAAGGCCAATTCACACCGCACAGACAAACACCAACAAACAAGTTGGCCATTGGATTTAGAATGTTATCAAAAATAACTGTCATGTTCACACTTTCACTCGGGTGAAAATAAACCCCGACCAACACCGACAGGGGTAACACACTGATCAAACAAAACCCAACAAACGTGTTTTGTTGGCATTTATCTGTGCGGTGTGAATTGGCCCTAAATGCATTATACACTTTAGCTGAGCACTACTATTATAAATGAGTATGAAGTCAAAACAGCTCGACGTGCTTATAGAACTGCACCATGATGCAGGTTTGCGCTGTGATTTGGCTCAATATTAAATGTCTTTATTATTAAACACACATTTGACAACAGACTTGGAGCTGCTCAATGTCAAAGGCTTCATTTTTGAGAGCACCTACATAATGCGACAGACACCAGCGGTGCTCAAAACAAACGCCTGAAATCATCCGTAACGCCTCAGATTTCACCTGTAAATGGTGATCAATCCATAAAAAACAAGAGGCGTTATGAACACAGAGTTAGTACACAAGTACAGAAACAAACTCCATGACAGACGGACACAGTAATGTGTGTCCGGTCAAGAAATGAACATGAACGCATTTGATTTGATTATAGAGAAAAGGAGTCGTGTGAATCGCGTGAACATGAACGGTATTGCTAAAATAGACGGCACAGCGCTACTGCAGCTCACAACTGAGAGTCCTCATTTTTTGCATAGCCTAGTTAGTTAGTTAGTTAATCTAGATCTCCACCGGGAAAGGCACAGAATCTGTAAACTTTGTGGGAATTGGGTTGGAGTTGAAGAACTTTGAGAGGACGACAGCGTCCTTCAGCGCAACAGGAAACAAAACGGGGTTTGCAGCCGCGTTCAGAGGGCTGACGGAGACCAGCGTTCACGGAAACAAACACGACGGACATGAGAAAACCAACCGGAAACATTCTGATCTTGATTTTAGCCCTTAATGCAGGTAAACGTCAGTCTTCCTTTACGAAATGGCACTCATCGCCTTCATTTGTGGCGTCATCTGATCATATCTGTGCTTCACTAATAAACAAATCAGAGATCATAAATCATGTGACTGCAGCAGGTCACACACACACACACATGGGACGCCACATCCAGCACGACACAAGCTTGTTTACAGCAGCCTATGAAACAGGTAAGGCCACGATGAGATACACACACATGAGACGATCAGCTGACTGTGTGTTTATCTGCTCGACCAGCGCTCATGGGATTCCTCAGCACACAAACATCATATAAAAGGACATGTGCCACCCTGTGTGTTTGAGACTGTGTGTGTATGTGTCTCCTGCGGGAGGAGACACGTGTCGCTCTGTGTGTGTGTGTGTGTGTCTCGCTCTGGGCTGAAGTCTCGGTGCAGCTGTGAGAAACAAACAGTGGTCTGGATTATTCGCTCAGTCTGTGAGAGGAAAGCGAGAGGGATGCTTATCTGCTCGCCCCGCGCTCATGAGATTCCTCAGCACACAAACATCATATAAAAGGACATGTGCCACCCTGTGTGTTTGAGACTGTGTGTGTATGTGTCTCCTGCGGGAGGAGACACGTGTCGCTCTGTGTGTGTGTGTGTGTCTCGCTCTGGGCTGAAGTCTCGGTGCAGCTGTGAGAAACAAACAGTGGTCTGGATTATTCGCTCAGTCTGTGAGAGGAAAGCGAGAGGGATGCTGGGAAACGGACACACATGACGCAGTCAGACAGTAGAAAAAGTCTCTCACAAACTCCCTCATTCCTGATCCCGATGGGTCGTCACACCTGGTGGTCGGTGGTGGTGGCAGGGTCAGGCGAGAGCTCTTTGCCGGCAAGGGTTTCACACTCAGAGCAGCAGCCACCGTCGGCTCCCTGACACAGCGATTCCTCCTCGGGCCCCGAACCCTCGTCCACATCCAGCTGGCACACGCACACCTCGATGCCCGAGTCGCCCGTCACATGTCTGCGCCGGCCACTGGGCTCCTCATCCTCCTCCACCTCCACAGCCGTCTCAGGCGCAGGTGGCTCCAGGACCACGGCCGCCTCCGTCCGGCCGCTGAGCACTGGGACGTCTGGTGGAGACTCTGAGTAGGGCGGAGGGGGCGTGGGCGGGTGGGCAATCACCTCCTCATAGTCGGGTAGCTTACAGTCTGTCCAGAGCCCTGAAAGTGATGGACACAAACGGGTCAGAGTGTTGCTCAACTTGACCAAAATAACAGACAGCACAGCTGCTGCACTCATTTCAGAGCCGACATGAGACACGTTACAGCCTCTCATTACCAAATAGATGACTGGAGCACATCAGTGGGAGCTGGACGAGCATCTGGATGTGTCTGACTACATGGCGTTGTATGCAGTTAACTGGTTGTTCTTAAGGAAGACTGATGAACTAGGCTGAATATGGATCTAACTCTTCTGAATGGAAATTTGTTTTTAATGACAAATGATCAAAGTACCATAAAACACCAAAAGACCACAGTCCTTCACATGACTCTTATGATGTTATATGACTATCCAACATCATTCACATTTGCCTTCACTAAAATATAGCAGCTTTTGAATAATTTGGGCTGATGTTAATATTACATTTTATTCAGCTGAGGACATCTTCTTAGTGTCATGGAAGAACAAACAGCATAGAGATGAGTAAATGAGATCACATGTTATTTTAAGGTCAAATTTTAATTAACTACAACTTTTGCCTCAAACTCCTAATTTGCTGCTTGTTAATAATTAGTAAGGTAGTTGTTAAATTTAGGTATGGTGTAGGATTAAGGGATCTAAAATATGGTCATGCAGAATAAGGCATTAATATGTGCTTTATAAGTACCAATAAACAGCCAATATGCTAGTAATATGCATGCTAATAAGCAACTAGATAATAGTGAGAACTGGTCCCCAAAGTAAATGCTCATTTTAATTTGTGAGTGAATGAGTCCTTTAATTCACAGCATGACCTTCTCAAGGTTTGCACTATAAACAAAAGATATCTGAACTCCCTGGTCATTCGCATGTCAAGCGACGCCAACATTTGACTGTATTTTCTGATCATTTCTGTAAAATTTAATCTAAAATAATCCAAACACGCAGATGAGATCAATGGTTGAATGTGTTACAGATATTTATGTGCTTTAAAGAGGATGAATTTAGACTCCTGGAAGATCTTTAGTTACGTTAAAACCCACATCATTGTTACTCTAGTCCCCTAAAACAGCACTGCTGCGAATTTCAGAAACTAGTCAAGCTCACTAGTAAGCTGTTGAGCAGTGGCACATCCTGACCATCCTTACAGTGCAAAGTGGCCCTTTCTGATGAGAACAACGTGCAGAAACTTGTGTTGGAGACGAGGGTCACACTATGACAAACTGTTACACGCATGTAAAACGTCACGCTGAACTCTCTTGTGAGCTGACGACGGGTCAGGCGTCTGTGATGGTGTGGTGTGGACACAGTACTCACGTAGGTTGAGAGGAGGAGGAGTGATGAAGGAGCTTGAGGCGCCCTGATATGCCATCAGACTGATCTCTCTCTGTCTCTGCTCCTGCTGCAGGCGCATCTTGACGCGTCGGTGTCTGTATGCGCAGCAGCAGCTCAGCATGATGATGAGGGTCCACACCAACCAGAACCCTACAGACACACATCATCATCAGTCCTTGCATACTGTCACACTGCTGTAAATATCAGTCATGTGACAGGTGGCTCTTGACTTCCAGTGTCATGTGATTTTCTGACTTTCAGTGACTCAATCAAATGTTTAATACCTGTAACTTAATTGATTCAACATAAATTTTTGATAAATCCATTACAGCACAAATGCATTTCAGTATTTACAGAAATTATGTTTCCGTACAGATATGTAGTGCACAGCATAAATGAGAACAGCCCCTCTGAAACTTAACAAATTCAGCAATTACTCTTTACTTGGAAGACATGTTAGGGCTCTTTAGAGATATAATGTTCCAGCAAGTCTGCTTGATCAGCTACCAAAGAAGCATGTTAAAATTATTCAGGAAAATAAGACTTTTTTTTTTATCAAAGTGATAAAATGCTGTGTTGCAAAAATGTACACCCTTCTGAAAGTTATTAAAAATAAAAATTCTGGTGTAAGTTCAAGGCCATTTTTGATCAACAGGTAAGTATGTTGAACCAAAACTGTTAAAGATTTTTCAATGTTCGCCGCGCTCCAGCAGTTGTAGCTACAACAATGAGTTGTAAGCAATGCAGGATGCAGACACTGAGGATGCAGTGGATTAGTTTTGTTTTTGATCAGAATCAGAAAGATCTTTATTGCCAAGTGTGCTTACACACACAAGGAATATGTCTTGGTGACAAAGGCTTCCAGTGCACAGACAGGTTGACAAGTGGCCAGACACAGATAACAAAATAAAAATAAAAATGTAATGTAAAAACAATACACAATAGACAAAAAAGTAGACAGTATATTGTATGTGGAGAGCGCCATACCGAGGCGGCGCCATCTTGTTACTATGGTAATGCGCCACCGAATACACCTAAATTAATTTATGTCTGCGCAAATCATTTTACTCCAAACTACTTTCTGAACGAGGGACAATTCAAGGCAGGTTTTGCTAAAAAGTTAAAACTCAAGGATGGATCAGTATCCATTGTTCGTGATCCAGCTGCAGTAAGTCTCACACTTTATATTTTTTATGATTATTTACAAATTGCCTTTCCTTTTCCACATAAGAAAGGGGCGGGGTGAACAGAGCTCATTAGCATTTAAAGAGACATGCAACGAAACAGCAAGGTAAAAAGGGTGTTGTTTTAAAACCAATTCACACCGCACCAACAGACTAGTCTGTCGGAGTTTGTTGGATCAGTGTGTTACCCCTGTCGGCGTTTGCCGGCGTTGGTTTTAACCCGACTGAACATGTTTAATTGGCGTTTGTTGGGTCGTGGAATGTCTGAGCAGTGTGATATGATTTTCCAACAAACTACAACAAACTCTGACGTAATCTGACCTGGCCACGAACCGTTGCCATGATAATGAGGCTGCAAGTAGGTGCTGGGCGCGCTTAGGAAAATAACTTTAAAAATGTCAGGTTTCTGGACAAACCAGAAAGAGGAACAGTTTTTGGATCTCTGGGAGGAGAGGCCAGCCAGAGCTTTATGTGGTGGGTGTGGCCGAGTATACCAACCGCAACGCGAGGGGGAATGCGATCAGATCGATCGCTACAGCGCTTGGGAAATTTCACAACGGAAATTTATTTGACAATATATTATTATTATAATAAAACTGCCTTACAATATTACCAAAGACATTAATAACAGTATCATTTTGATTGTTGTTACAAGATCATCCATTTTCCCCCTAGTTAACTCTCCCTGACTTGAAGTCTGTTGGGGCAGTGTGAACATGACGGTTATTTTATCATAAAATTCTAAATCCAGCGGCCAACGTGTCTGTTGGCGTTTGTCTGCGCGGTGTGAATTGGCCTTTACATGACCACTGAGGAATTTTAACCAAAGTATGTTGCAGACATTTCATGAAGACCCTAAAAATCATACCAACTTGTGGAAAATGGGCATCCGATGTCCCCTTTAAAAGTGTTATATAGCCCACTGAATCATACTCAGACTTAATGGTGATGTAATGTAATGTAACCACTTGAGAGAACTGTCAGGAGATTTATTTCTTAGCACAAAAGGGTACAATGGTACAAGAGGAATACCAAATCATTGTTTTAAGTGTGAAAATATACAAAAGTAAAACAGAAATTCAAAAACAATGGACTTGTGAAAAGGCCCCTGAGATAATCAGGTGTTCACTTTAAGCTCTGTGTCTCAGAGCCGGTAAAAGCTATGAAAAGAGTGACACTTTGTCTCACAGAGTAAGATGCAGCCTGCAGAAGTAACATGCATGGTTGTTTATCCACACCAGAACTACCGACTGTAGCCAAAGCACAACTTTTTCCAAGGCCCATATTTACAAAATATAGACTTCTGGGAATCCATACTCTGATCTCATAAGATCAAGTCAATAATTTCGGATCTAACAGCATCCAAAATGTTTATGGTGTTGCTAGAGGAGGAGTACAGAGAGAAGTGCCTGATTCCCACAGTGACATTCAGTGCTAGTAAAAGCTCTTCTGTAGGGATGTATGAGGGCTGAAGGTGTGAGGAAGTTGTGCTTTATCAAATTATCAACGCTGTCATGAATTACCATAATGAGAATACAGAGGAAATTGTATTTAAATATAGTTTCAATGTCACAATGCAAAAAACGAGCCTTAAAACAAGCTTTGTTGTCATAGAGCAAAACCTAATTTTCCATTTATTCCTTTTGATATTGAGCTGAAATATGAAATGAACATGCACAGGCTGGTGGACCAAACACCTCACTAGCATTGTACTGTCATGCGTGTAAGCCTGAACCACATACGTGTGTGTGTGTGTGTGTGAGAGAGAGAGAGAGAGAGAGAGAGACACATGAAGCTGCTGCACTTACACCAGAGCTCGTAATAGTACGTGCAGCACTCGGTCTCGCCACAACAGTAGCCCATCTCACAGCGGTACTGTTCATTGTTCACGCCGAAACAAAACTCCTTCCCCTGTCAAACAAACACAAGCATTGAGTGAAACACAACAGCACAGATCTGAGCTCTTCATCATGCGCACTCCAGGCTTTACATCAGCGTTTGTGTCGGAGGACTGACAGTAAACACTCACAACACTCAGAGAAAGAGTGTGACTCCTTTATAAGGAGCACAAAGGCAAATTCGTCGTTTGAAAACCAGACTCCCCACTCAAAATCTGATTTCTGTCACAATTCACATATTGGTCTAAAATTATAAGGACAAAGTAATGCAAGTAAAGTTGAAATCAATCAATAAATATGAACAATTATATATAATAATATCAATGAAATTGGGTCCTCAAATATAATACTGTATAAATAAATAGGAAACACAGTGTTGCCTGTTGGACAGGTGAGTCTTTATTTGCTTGTGAGCTATGATGGGCGCTGGATCTTTCATCTACACAATAACCTTTAAAAACAATTAGTACGAGTCAAACTTAAACCTCACAAACACCCACAAAGCCGGCGAACTGACACAACACCCAAACACTGCAGACACCCACAATCACAAACACGAAAGTACAAACCATCAATAATAACCACCATTTTCCCCCCCGAGTCATTGCATCTCCTGAATGTCCGTGATTTTACAATGTAAAATATTAATATTGATTTTAAATATATCCCGTAAGAAAGGACATAAGGTGTTTATAACCACACGATGCTGGTTTTATGGCTTTATTTGAGTTGTTTATCGAGGCCTCGCACCGCGCTGATCCCGGAGCTCGAGTTCAACACTCGCCGCCTCAAAGGCCGCGCCGCCGGCTTACCTGAACTAAACACGTCCCTGTGCAGAGAAGCCCCACCACGGAGCCCAGCAGCTTCTGTGGCATCTTGCTGCGTTTTTCTTTCCAAACTCGAGCGGAATCATAAAGCTTCAGTTAAACAGACGTGATGACCGTCCGCACGACATGTCTGTGCTCATGAATGTGATTTCATGTGATCCACATACAGAGGGCAGCAGCATCACATTCAGCCACAACAATAACAGAAGTAAAAGCGGCACTGACAATAGTATCCAGCTGCAGACCCGCAGCACCAGCAGTTTCAGAACCACAACCACAGAACCGCAGCCACAGAACCGGAAGTGAGGGGAGGAGCTTACATTTTTTTAACAGAGTAGCGCCACCTTAGGGTCTTTAAGGGGTAATGTGCTTTTAGTACACACGATACGTCATACTTTATGTGTGCATGCATTTTATAATGACATATTAAGCATTTTATAAACATTAATCTTGTGTAATTTAGGTGTAGACCTATACAGTTATTCGTTTCATTGTATTATGCGAGTAATTTCCTGTTTGTGATATTAAAAATAATGTTTGAAACTTCTGGGCATTTGATATGAAATATACTTTAATACACACACAATCATCTCAATGATGACAAATGGGATTAAAATAACTCAACTACAAGGTAATATTAACACACAAACAATGCATATAACAGAGGGAATTAAAGCAAACTATTTATTTTTATGAATAATAAACGTCTTCAAAACTTCACCACAAGGCCCATTTACAGCATGCATCCGAAAATTAATCGAAACAGCCACAGAAAAAAGTTATAAACTATAAAGTATGACAACAAATTCAAGCTTCAATATAAGATAATAAAGCCGAGCACACATTAAGTACTTAGCAGATAAATTCTTAACGTAATGTATACGATAAATATCAAACATATGATAGCAAAAACATTACAGAATACTCACCTTGCGCTCTCGTTGTCAATAACTCCTCCCCTCACTCCCGGTTCTCAACAGCGAATCACCCAAATGATACATTTTTTAATGTTCTACTGAACATCGAAATTAAAAACTACAAAACGTACGTTTTTTTTTTTTTTTTTAAGAAAAGGTTGTATTCAATACGGACATTTAGCATATTTTAAGATATTGTAAATGTAGCATGCGGCATCCCCTGACGTCAACCGGATGACATCAAAAGCGCGTTCTGGGAGACAGCGGGAGCGCGCACTGAAGAATGGTGAGTATCGCGTGCACACTCTCTCTCTCTCTCACACACACACACACACTCATCTAATTTATATATATGATGAACAGTCTGATTGCTGAGGTTTTCTCTCGGTTTGAGCTTTTTTTTTTACACTTTTTCTAGCGGTTTATATTGAAAACTTCGCTGCTTGAAGACGCCTTTCTTTATATTATCTTAATAAACAGCGCTTAACGGTTTATTATAACGCGCTACAAATAGGCCTGATTAGAAAATTATTTTGTTTGTTTTTAAGTGTTGGTAAAAAGTTATTAAAACTGCAAATCCATACAGCCTACGCGTCTATTAAGCAGAATAAGCGATACGAGCCTTTAACAGAACTGATGTTTCACTTTTCTCATTTAAATTAAGGTAGATATTAGATCATATGAAGGACATTGTGTCTGTTGATTGTTTACTGTACATATGGCACAGAAACTGGCTTAAGGTTTATTTTGGTTAGCAGCACGTGGAGCTCCGTGTTTAATCTGTGTCAATCCTAATCAAAGCAGCTGATTGGTTCATCGGATCACAGTCTTGTGTGCTTGGTTCTGGTTCCGAAGATGCTCCTCTGCTCAGGATGACCAGACAGATGGAAAGAGATAGGCCTTATTTATTTATTTTTGCAAATAACTATCTGACTCACCGCGTCAATAACAAAACATTTTGAAAATGAAACGTTCATATCTTACAGTTTCCTTCAAATTATATATTTTAAATACAGTGGTGTTTGTCACAATATTGGGAAGAGCACGAAAGGGGTTATCATTAGGCTACTGTCTGTCTGTGCGCGACACCTGCGTGCAGAGGTTCTACCAATTCAGACAACTGTTAGTATGACAATACTTACACAACTATCAATACTTTGTTGACCAATTACCAAGCAATGCTTAATTTTGTTCAGTATGTGGTGTAAAAAGGTTGCATTAAAGAAAAAACACTTAAAGCTGCAGTCCGTAAATTTTGCCTCTTTGTCGCCATCTCTGTTTGAAAACCTGCAATTTCAGCTGTTTGCGGAATTATCTTCCTTGCGTAGGTTGTGTGCCGGCACGGCTCCAGCGTGGATAAATCTAATGTTTTGAGGAGTATGTGTGGCAGTCAGTCACCGCACCGGTGTGGATATTCACTGTACTTTGCAATAACAGATTCTAGTCTACGTCTTGGAATATATGACCCAAATAAGAATTTCACCGTATATTGTCATCTGAACAAGTAACAAGTCTGCCACGTTTGTTCTGACCAACTGAGGAAAAAAGCATTACAATAAATCGTGCTACCAATGGTGATTTAATCTAAAGATCGGTTAGTATGTGGTGTAAAAAGGTTGCATTAGCAATTAAAGAAAAAGCACTTAAAGCTGCAGTCCGTAAATTTTGCCTCTTTGTCGCCATCTCTGTTTGAAAACCTGCAATTTCAGCTGTTTGCGGAATTATCTTCCTTGCGTAGGTTGTATGCCGGCACGGCTCCAGCGCGGATAAATCTAATGTTTTGAGGAGTATGTGTGGCAGTCAGTCACCGCACCGGTGTGGATATTCACTGTACTTTGCAATAACAGATTCTAGTCTACGTCTTGGAATATATGACCCAAATAAGAATTTCACCGTATATTTTCATCTGAACAAGTAACAAGTCTGCCACGTTTGTTCTGACCAACTGAGGAAAAAAGCATTACAATAAATCGTGCTACCAATGGTGATTTAATCTAAAGATCGGTTAGCTCATATCACATCAAACTGTGCAAATTATTATTGTTATACTTTATTCTCAAATTATAAATTTTAACAATCAGCTGTTTGCGGAATTATCTTCCTTGCGTAGGTTGTGTGCCGGCACGGCTCCAGCGTGGATAAATCTAATGTTTTGAGGAGTATGTGTGGCAGTCAGTCACCGCACCGGTGTGGATATTCACTGTACTTTGCAATAACAGATTCTAGTCTACGTCTTGGAATATATGACCCAAATAAGAATTTCACCGTATATTGTCATCTGAACAAGTAACAAGTCTGCCACGTTTGTTCTGACCAACTGAGGAAAAAAGCATTACAATAAATCGTGCTACCAATGGTGATTTAATCTAAAGATCGGTTAGCTCATATCACATAAAACCATGCAAATTATTATTATTGTTGTACTTTATTCTCAAATTATTAATGTTAACAACATCAGCATTGCCTATAGTGTGTATGAGTGTGTAGACTTCAATTTCTGTACAGTCTAACCTCTAATTGTCATACCATTTGAATTTCATATTAAGAAATTCTTTTAAGCCAAAAAGCTAATTATGCTCCCTTCGAACTGGTTGTCTTTAAAATACAAATCATGTGTAATCCCAGGCTATCTGTAATCAGAAGCACATTTATAACTGGAATATAATTTAATTTCATTCACATGTGTTTCATAAACACATAATCCTTTATGGATTACATTCCACCATTAAAATGATACATTTAATTATTCTAGCTGCTGTGAGAAAAGGCTATAAACGATCTGCAGGATCCTCAGTCACATGCGATAGCCAACTAGCCAGGACAACTTCTTTATGTTTACAGAAGTGACGTAATGACGCAGTGCCATGCTCGAATTTCCCACGAAAACCTACCCGTACCACTCAGATTAGAAAACATTATTATAAAATAACCGTTGTGAATCGGGCTAAAGTAAGGCGATAGTTTTGAACACTGGCTGGTACTTGCTCAAATATGATTTTGAATAATTTTTAACCAAAAAAAAGTTACGGACTGCAGCTTTAAGCAAAACATGGTCAGGTCAAAGTGTCTGAATAATTTCTGGTTCCAAATTTTTATCAATTTTACTGGTAGTCCACTGTATGAAGAATTTTTGGGTATAATATGTCACAGTTTACTTTATTTTTATATACTCACTTACATAAATGAACTATAGTGTCCTGCACCCACTAGTAAAAAATATAAAAAATTATATCTGGTGTCTGAAAATAAATTTTTTTTGACTGTTGTAATTCAGTAAAGAGCAGTGAGTGATTTTCTGTCTTTCATTTTCTTGGGTTGGAGAACCAATTTTAATATTAGTAGTACTAATGGTATTAGTTAGATGCCACATATATTAGCCTATGTATTTTTAAGTTATGATTCTCCCACAATTCTGGAAACAAAACAGACAACCAAACAAAATATGTAATCTACTTGAGTTTCTGACAAAATGTTTTATTAATGTTATAAATTAGTCTATTTAAACTTTTTTATTAATTTAAACGAATTATCCTTATTATGTAAAAAAAAAAAATCTAAAATCATTTGAAATAAATAAATGAATACTTGTTTCGTTTTGAATCTCTTGATTCTTGAAAAATGATTCAGAGATCAAATACATTTAACAGTCACTGCTCACCACCTACTGGCAAAATGTAACATATACAGTCATTATTTGCAGCATATCATTACTTTCAAAGACCCATTTTGATCACGGCTCCCGCATCATCAGAGTCTACAGTGGTGTGAAAAAGTGTTGGCCCCCTTCCTGATTTCTTATTTTTTTGCATGTTTGTCACAATTTAATGTTTCAGATCATCAAACAAATTTAAATATTAGTCAAAGTGAACACAACATGCAGTTTTTAAATGAAGGTTTTTATTATTAAGGGAAAACAAAATCCAAAACTACATGGCCCTGTGTGAAAAAGTGTTTGCCCCCTAAACATAATAACTGGTTGGGCCACCCTTAGCAGCAACAACTGCAATCAAGCGTTTGCGTTAATGATTAAACGTGCATACATATGAGCCTTATAGCCTATGTATTTCTCTAGCCCATGTCATATTTGTATATCAGACCTCAAAAGACCCATGTTTATCTAGAACTACAAGAGCAAGAAGAGGCAAATTCTGTGTTCAAGTGCTTTGAGACGCGTCTCTCTGCGTGGGCCCTGTGTGCGCAGAACACCGCGCGTGGGCGCTGAATTGGGCTCTTTCACATCTTTTTCTGTTTGCATGTTTAAACTGCGATTTCAATTTGTTCGTTCAGGTGCAGGAGGACGCAAAGGAGAGCTCGGTTCAGTGATACTGTCCGTGGCGGCTCTC